GGTGCTTACCACTAAGCCTAATGTCCTGTGCCTTAAATGCACTTTAAAACCCAAACCCAACTACACTTAGATGATTTCTGCTCCTTCAGTTAAAGTAGGTGGTACCTCTTCGAAAATTTTCTTATAACAATTTACCTATAAAAGTGCATGTACAATATGGTACATTTGAAATGTGTTGAGAGTACATCTCATGTTGTATTTTTTCCTCAAAATTTAAAATATGTACTCATGGAAGAGTTCTTAATAAGGTATCATTCTGAGCATGACATGTCCTGAGGCTTATATTTTTACTTGTCTTTAACATTAACATACAAATCAGAACAGCACCTATACATAGTGCTGTCTACCAGATGCAGTGTGAGCAATACCATATTGGACTCAAATGCTGCCCTATCGAGACAGCACTGCTCTAACCTTTGATCATGTATTTCCTCTATGAATACATGTGAACACCAAAAGATTTACTATGCCTGACCAAAGACGTGTAAAGGATGGTAAGCATTTTTTCCTTTTGAACAGCTGAGCCCTGGCTCAAGTCAGAAACATCTGACTCCAGATATAACCACTGCATTTATGCACATGGTTCTTTCTGTATTATGCTGTTTTTAAAATAGTAACCAGAAAAGGGTGATCATATGCCTTGTGGATTCTGGTCTGTTACCACTGACTAAATGTAAGCACTTTAAAATAAAGTCCAAGACTCAGATAAAGACATAAATGTATTTATACTAAGTAATGGGAAGAAAAACTATCAAAATAAAAGTAAATATAAATTTGGGATTTTAGTTTTCTTCTAATGTTTAGACTTACAGCTAAACCTTCACTCTAAGAAAAAAAATAAGGCCACAAATCTGGAAACATTGAGCTTTCCTGGACAATCATACATATTTTACAAATGCCTAAGTTCCTATCTGAACATCTGAAGTGGAAAGATGTCAAAAGATACAGAGGGTGACAGAGCTGAGGGTACCAAGTAATTAACTTCTCCCTTAAGTCCAAAGGCAATAGCTGTTCTTTAATTCGGCCCAGCATCAAGAAATCACCTCAGCTTCAACATAGAAACACATCAGATAAAAATTTAAGTGACGGAAATGTCCGTGATCTTGTTTCTAGTGAACATCACTGATATTCTTAAAGCTTCCCAGGAACCTCTTGTGGGCAGAGATGGTAGTTACTACTTCAACACAAAACAAACAAAACAAGTTTAATATTGAAAAGTGTTTTTAATTTCCAAGCCAAGGAGAGTATGTGAAGAGAAGAGTTAATTACACAATAAACTAAAAATTGCATAATAGATGGTGGATAATCTAATCAAAAACACTTATTAAGCACAGATCACATTATTGGATACTAATGTACTCCCTATGAACATAATGACTTCTGAGCTTTGATTCTAGAGCTTGGGGTCAAATAATACAGAATTAGTTTCTCATATATTAGTATAAATGCACATAAACACCTGAATTGCCTGAATAAGATATTCATAGATGTTTAGTCAACAGATCTAGAGTGGGGCTTATTTTAACCAGTTCCTAGGTGATGGAGATGCTAGACTAGAAATACAAACAGCCAGACAGGCATAGAAATGGGTTTTTGGAAATCTGAATGGAGCATTATATGAGTATCAAGCAGGGACCAGGCCTGTGTGTGATTGTTGGAAAAGGCTTCACATAGGAGGTTGGAGAGAGTCTTGTTTCTCAAGTAACCACAAGAGGACAGTTCAGTGATTGAGCTGGTATGAGCTGGATAGGCCATCCAAACTTTCTGCCCCTGTTTCCTTTTTCACGTGTAAAATAAAAAATTGAGAACATTAGATTCTTCACAGCCCTGAAAGAAGGATGGCATGTAGCTCAGTGATAGAGCACTTGCCTAACACATGCAAGGTCCTGGGCTTCATCCTCAATACTTAAAACTATCTGTAAATCACTATCTGCTTATAAGTTAAAAAATAGTATAAAATGTTCTATTAATGAGCCTAACAAAGCAGACTACACTTTCCAATTGAAAGTGTGACATGCTATAACAAAACGGCACTTAAGTCCTGAGTGCCACTTTTGTTCCCTACTCAACTGCCTAGCTATGGCGAGGTGTATGGCCCTTACCACTAAACTATTTTAAAAAGCATCACATCCACTTTGTTCAGCACAATGATACTTAACATTTATAAATTACTTTTCACGACACAACAAGCATCACACAACTGAAGTTATTTTCCATGAGTCTAATTACAAGTGGACCAGATTAAACTGAAGCAGCAAAGGCAGGTGGCAGGAGGAGCAGAGCCCGGCTGAGAATGCTGAGGGCTCTACCAATTATGTTCACCATTTGTAGGTGAAAACGAACCTTCACCAAAGTACAAAATCACGAAAAAAGGAAAAAAATTCAGTTTCTGAACATCTTCCTACTAAGAGCCACAGTGTCATGTAAGGAAAGGGATGAACTCCAATGGCTTATCTCTGCTCCTCCCCAACGTTCTGTATATACCAAGTAACAGAAACAAGCCAATAAATAGTGAAGTCAATACTTCACTTATCAAAAAGCTTTTCACTACTAAGATTTATGGTGCTCTTCCAAATACCTGAGAAAAACCAACGTTTAAGAAGGAAACTTTATTTCAGTCCGTGTTCTCAAAGGTTTCAGTACATGGTCAACAGATTCATTGCTTCCAGGCCTGTGGCGAGACATCTTGGCACGGAATTGGAAATATAGCAAAGCTGTTTACCTAATAGTGCTTGGGAAGCATAAAGAGAGGGGGAAGTGTTGCTGCTCCAAATATCCCTTTGAAGGGCATACCACTAGACCCTGTTTCCTCAAAGTTCCACCATCTCCTGGCAGCACCACGGGCTGGTGACCAAACACATGGACTTTAAAAAATTATGTATAGCTGGGCGGTGGTGGTGTACACCTTTAATCCTAGCACTCAGCAGGCAGAGACTGGTGGATCTCTGAGAGTTCGAGGCCAGCCTGGTCTACAAAGTGAGCTCTCGGACAGCCAGGGCTGTCACACAGAGAAACCCTGTCTCAGAAAACAAACAAACAAAATATTCTTTTGTAATTGTATTAATACAATATATTTAGATCACATTCACCTCCCAATTCCTCCCAGATCTTCCACCATATTCCCCTTTCAACAGTTAGGGGTAGAGTCTGATAAGCCTTACCTTTATCTATGTTGGAGTGTTGACCGACTTGGCTGATCTTGTGCAAGTATCAGGGAGGCAATCACAGGGCTGGAGAGTTGATTGGCTTGATCTTGTGCAAATGCTGGGCAGGCAACTACAGTTGCTCAGTTTAGGAGTGTAAGGACTCTGTTAAGTTCAGAAGACACTACTTCATAGTAGTCCTCCCTGACTTCTGGTTCTTATAATCTTTCTGCCCCCTTCCTCAATGTTCCCTAAGCCTTGGGGGAAAAATATAATACAGATGTTCCAAATATGGACCTTCTAAAACTTTTATTATTGTGAGAGGCCTCACATGTCATGGCACATGTGTGGAGGTTATAGGACTATGTGTAACTGATTCTTTCCTTCTACCTTTATGTGGGTTCAAACATAGGTTGCCAGTCTTGTACAGCAAAGCCCTTTATCTGCTGAGCCTAACACATGGACCTTTGAAAGATACTTCAGAGTGAAGTTATAATACATGACCACCACTCACACGACGGCTGGCTTTTTCAGTGGTGTACTTTAAACAAAACTGTTTTAAGGATCTTGTGCTGTGTTTGAAGTAGTACAGTATTTATGGACACAACACAGAAATCAGAAGATTGCAGGAAACCCAATACCAATTCATCCATCTACATCATACCTCCTGCATCTATCTTTTAAACATTCATTCTCTGGGAATCTCATGTGACACATTTTGAACATATTTACCTTTTCACCCAACTCCTCCCATAACTCCCTTCACTATCTTCTCATTCCTTCTCATGAGATTTGTTTTTCTTCCATCAAGTACAGTTTGTGTTGCTAGCTAGTTTGGAAGTATGGCCTGTCAGAGCCTATGGTCAACCTACCAAGGGTCATGTCATTAAAGAATCCTGATTCTCTCTCAGCTGTCATTAAATGCCAGTAGCGTCTTAGCTAGTGGTGGGATTTTTGTGCCTCCTTTCCCCTTCTGTGCTGTGATTTGTTTTTTTTTTTTTTGTTTTCTGTTTTTTTTTTTTTTTTTTGGATTTTTCGAGACAGGGTTTCTCCGTAGTTTTTGGTTCCTGTCCTGGAACTAGCTCTTATAGACCAGGCTGGCCTTGAACTCACAGAGATCCGCCTGCCTCTGCCTCCCTGGGAGGCATCTCTGCCTCCCCATCCTCTGCTGGGATTCAAGGTGTGCGCCACCACTGCCCGGCTGTGCTGTGATTTTTTTTTTATCTGACTGGAGCTTGCACAAGTCTTATGCATGGGGTTACAATCACTCTAAGTTCATGTGTACAACTGCCTGTTTGTATCCAGAATATAGTTCCCTTGATGTGATCCACCACCTCTGGATCTTTCCGAGTCCTATTCCAAGAAGATCCCTGAGCTTTGTAGGGATTAGTGTGATGCAAATGTCCCATTTAGGGCCGAGAACTCACCAGTCTATACTCTGCACATTAATTGCCATCAACTGCAAAGGAGGTGCTTTTCAAAGATATGTTTTCTAGAGTGGGTTTTTAAAAAAGATTTATTTATTATATATACAGTGCTCTGCCTGCATGTATGCCTGCATACCAGAAGAGGGCACCAGATCTCATTATAGATGGTTGTGGGTCACCATGTGGTTCCTGGGAATTGAACCAGATCTTCTGGAAGAGCAGTCAATGCTCTTAACCTCTGATCCATCTCTCCAGTACTACAATGGGTTTTGAAGGCATCTAGATTCTAGAGCTTGGAGAACTAACAGTATGAAATGAGCTTCTCAAATTTTAATGTGCATCAAAATCACATTCCCTTTTATATAGAAAACTTAAATATATCTTTTATGAGGAAAACAAAGTTTAGACATGAAGAATTATCCAACATGAAGTAATTTTATTATTGTGTTGTCATTTCTGCTTGTTTCCAATGCTCCAAATGTTCTTACTGTGCTTGCAGAACCTTTATAAGTGGAAATAAACATCATGTTATATCTTTTAAAACTAACTTGAAGAACCTTTATAAGTGGAAATAAACATCATGTTATATCTTTTAAAACTAACTTGCACTTTCAGTATTTGTTTTATGAGCTAGGAAAGGAATATAAAAACTGGTAAATTTGACAATTAAAACTATCATCTACTTTTCTAAATCTGAAAGAAAGTTTATGACAATTCTTTATTTTTTGAGAGGCTCTCACTATGTAGCCCAGGCCTGCCTGGGACTCAATGCATAACCTACGCTGGCCTTGAATTTCCAAGTGCTGGGATTATAACTCTATATGCTACACACAGCTTTTTTTTTAATATGGAAGAGAAAGATGCCTAATCTTAGCAAATATTCAGTCATACTAAAATGTAACTTATTTTACCGAAGAAAACATTATGATAGAAATTCCTTATATTAAAATATGTTGCTTCCTTTTCATTTCTTCAGAGTACCTTGCATATATAAACATGCACATATATACATCAAACACATATACACTCACTCAGCATACAGTTCGTTTCTCATTAATATGACACATAGATTAGACCACTTTATTTTGTTTTTAAAATTAAAAATTGTGTAACAAAACACCCAAAAGGAAAATAAAAACTGTATCAAATTTTGGTACATGTATAAAAAATATAGAAGTACTCTTCAAAAAGTTAGTGTTGAACCATTTTAATTTTAACATTTATTGCAAAGCACATTTTTTTTTTTTTTTTGGTTTTTCGAGACAGGGTTTCTCTGTGGTTTTGGAGCCTGTCCTGGAACTAGCTCTTTTAGACCAGGCTGGTCTCGAACTCACAGAGATCCGCCTGCCTCTGCCTCCCGAGTGCTGGGATTAAAGGCATGCGCCACCACCGCCCGGCCTGCAAAGCACATTTTATAAACACTAAATTTACATAAAAGCTACACATATACAGACCCAAAAGAAAAATAGCAGTACTATTAATGCAAGTAAACTGATAAGATGTTTAAACAAATATGACAATAAAAATAATTTTCATTGCTATTTATTTTTCATAAATTTAAAAACTACTCAGAAATGAAATGTATTTAGTATATCATGAATACTATCAAAGTTTAGAATTACAGAAACAACACAGAACTACTTATTTTAAAAATCTTTCAAATATTCAATAGCCAACTGATAATTATTAATGTCAGTAAATAGTCAACATCAGTAAAAGTTCCTATCTAACTGAATAGAAAATTTTAGGCTTTGGTTAACAGGCTAAATTTGGTGGAAAAATCTTTATGTCTCCTTTACATTATATTCCTGAGTTTTTGCACAACGTTACAGATAAGATAAAAACTTAAGGTATAGCTTTGTATAACGCTGTATTTTAGTTCTGAAAAAACAAGTATTGAGATTATTTTAAATGTGAATAATAACATTTAATAACCAAGACAGAAAAGAATGCATTTACTATAGCTTAGCTCAGGGAAATGTTAATGCCTCTAACCACAATTTGTAAAGATTATTTTTAAAATATGACAGAAATTCTATTATACCTGCCAGAAGTTTTTATTTGTACCTCATGAGATCATATTGACTTTGTAGAACACAATGCTTTTATAAAAGAAATGCTCAAATGATGACAGTCAGCACAAGGCTAGGCACAGTGTAGGTGTTCCATATTATTAATTTAGCATAACAAAGTATTATTTCTACACATTAACAGTTCAACAGGTAGTTATAAGTTGATTTAAAGCATTTTAAACAGAAAATACAGTTTTAGTAACAACCATAAGAGGAATTTTTACAAGTGGCCATTTTCAGTCTTAGTTTTATAAAAATAGAGTTTCAGATTCCTTTAAATAGGCCTTAGAAAGCTGCCCCTGTTTGCTGCTAAATGTGATAAGAGCAACCTATTAACACCTTCAGAACTGATTAGTTTAGATGACAACCCTCCCTAGAGCAGTTTCCCTTGAAAACAATCTATGCCTCTGAAGACCAATGTGGATTTCTGAACAATTCCCATACCTCCTGGAAAATTACTATCATTAAATGGATTTGAGAAATAATGATTTCAGGTTACCAAAATTTTTATCATACTTGGACATTACTTTACATGAGTAAAAACATGTATGGAGATCTTGAATAACCTGCCTAGCTTATCATCAGACCTTACCCAAAAGTATTTCTTATCTAAAAGTCACAGGTTTTGCTCTAGGTCTCTTGCTAGTCACAAGAGCTATCAGACAGTGATCGCTTCTGTCAAATCTGCTGGTGATTGCTGTTCTATAGTTTTATATTGCATAGGCTTTTTCTTACTAGGAAACAGAAGAATCATCTGGCAGTTGTATTTTAAAAAGAGCAATACAACTTATGAAGAAGTTAGTTCTTAAAATGGCAATGTCAGCATCAGTAAGAAGTATCTGCAAAGCTGATTACCAAATATCTTAGTTTTTTTCTTTCTTTTAAAATAGGATCTCACTATGTTGTCAAGGATAGTTTTGAACTCCCAAGCTCCAGAGCTTCTTACACTTTAGCATCCCAAGTAGCCTGGGACTACAGATGGCACTACCACATTCAGTTTTCAAATTCCTATTTTTTTAAAAAATTTTCAATTTACAAAATAGTATGTCAACTCCATGTACAAAATCTCATTAGCCATATAATGCAAGAAGAAAATAATTATTTAACTGGATATGCATTTAAAAAGTACATAAGTTTATTTAATTATTACCTAGTAACAAATTCCTCTAAATAAAAAGAGAAAATAAGTAACAAAATACACTATCAAATGAATGCCATAGAGCACTAAGGAAAGTTTAAATTATAAAAGATTTGAAAGAATTTTTAATTAGTATTAAAATTGTTAACCGGTAGCAACTTCTGTTTTCTAATAAGAGTATTATATAAAAAGAAAACTGAAAGCTCATTGAAGGGGTTAAATAGTTTATAAGATGACTAAAATTACTTAATTTAAATGAACTATTTTAGATCTTCAAGTAAATGATATAGTATTCAAAGAATTATTTAAAAATAGCCTTTAACAATTTTAGAATCAGTAAAAATTACTAATGGCTTAAGACTAATAGACATAAGTATTTTATCAAACTCTATATATAAAGATTAGAAAGAGCTTAATACCACAGTCTGCTTCAAATCGCCATCTGTATCTCAGCAAAGTTATAGAAGCTGTCAACATCTCCAGATGCTGTCTCCTTCTTTTCTGATACAAACATCTATTTAAAATACAAAACAAACATAAGATTAGTTCTGTGGCCCTTAAATACCAAAGGCCACATATTTATAGAACAAAGTCATAAGCTTAGGGTTTTCTTTTTAAGATTTATTTATTTATTGTGTACACAGTGTTTGGCCTCCTTGTATGCCTGCAGGCCAGAAGAGGGCACCAGATCTCATTACAGATGGTTGTGAGCCACCATGTGGTTGCTGGGAATTGAACTCAGGACCTCTGGAAGATCAGCCAGTGCTCTTAACCTCTGAGCCATCTCTCCAGCCCAAGCTTAGGGTTTTATCTTTAAGAAGTTTTTAGATTTACTTTTTATATGTATGAATGTTTTGCCTGCATGTATGTATGTGTACCATTTACATGCTTGGTTTCTTCAGAGGTCAGAAGAGGATATTGGACCTCTGAAGCTGGAGTTACATATGGTTGTGAGCCTATGGGTTAAAGAATATACTATAGATACAAGTACTATTTGGTTGTAAGGGAAAGGAGATAAAATGGAAAATTAGATTAAGATAAGTAAGATCTATACCTTTGTCCCGTTGAATATCTCGTTTACGATAAGGTGACATCCTTCTACAGCACCATTTCCATTAAATTCCAGGGCAATCACAGGACCTAAAATGAACCCCAAGAAGTTTTTTCTCACCACGAATACAAATATATTGTAAAGCTTATTCTTGAATTTCTTTTAGATTTTTGACATAGTTCACTATGTAGCCCTGAAAGACACTATGTAGACTAGTCTGCCCTTGAGCTTTTCTCCATCCTTCTGCCTTTACAGGTATGTATTAAACCCAGCATTCATTTTTTGATTCTTCTCTGAGAAATTTCCAGTATCTTCATCAGGTGGGAAAGAAGAAGGATGGAGATAAAAAGGCACATCATTTTAACTTTTCCCTATCCCTATCATAAAACAAATAAACACTGAGTCTCATCTTAGGATGCACAGCTCCCGTACTATTACACAACTGTATCACATTTTTAAAAATTATGTATGTGTGTGGGTATGTGTACATGTGGAGTCCTGCAAGTGCCTTGTGGAGGACAGACGAGGTCATTGGACTCCCTGTAGCTGGAGTTATGGACAGTTGTTCCTGAGCTTCCAGATTTGGGTCCTGGTATCTGAATTCCAGTCCTTTGCAAGAACAGCAAGCATTCTTTAACTGCTAAGCCATCTTTCCAACCCTTACTGTCACGCTTTCAACTGTTGAAAATTGTCTGGTTTCTTTGGTTTTTGTTTTTCTTTTTAAAACAAAACAAACAAACAAAATAAAAGAATCTCCACTAGTACAAAGACTAGTGGGCAAAATACCAAACAAGATAAAAACAATCCAAGTCAACACACAAGTCTTACCAGGCAGCCTGCCCTCCTTCCAGCTCCCCTACTTAACCATCCAAGTTCTAGTTCACCAACTATGGAAATAAATCAAAAGGGAATTGAGGCCAGGCACCAAAGCAATGCCTCTTTGAAAGAATTTTCCTTAAGTGTGTTTTAAAGTTACATTCTAAAAGTAAATATCAAACTTTTATTTTTAATCCTCTGAATAGAAAGATTTGTGCCTCCTTTCCCACCCATTAATTTGAATGCTTTTAAGACCCCCTCTGACTTACATTTTGAGTTAAATATTCATGATTTAATCTTTGGCAAACCTGGAATTTAGCATAGATTTGTTGGCAAGCATGACCAAAGCCAATCAGACCAAGAAAATGTGTGCTTCAATTAATGTGTATTCAGCTATCACTATATTCCAAACAGATCAGCATTTTATTTCCTATGGTGATGGAGAAGTTTTGACCTCAAGGAGTTTACAAATGTGTCTCAAAAACAGATATAAACTAATTAAACAAACAAAACAATATAGAATAATGGAGTACTACATCTGAAAAACCAAGGTAAACAAAATATGAATGCTAAGTTTAATGTAGTTCTGAGACCTGGACAAAGCACAAGAATGAGATAGATCTCATTATATTTGGCACTGAAATAACTGGAGGGTTGAAATTTAATACAGAAACAAACAGGAAAGGCAAGTACTAAAACAGTCAACTGTACCCTCACACAGACCTAGTGAACAAGCTAAACTAGGAGTTTACAGCACATAGTATCTATAGATTATGATAAGTACTGAGTCAAAGAAGAGGCAACTGTTTACATTTTCTTACTCTTGGCAAAAAGGCTCTGTGGAAAATGTGGCTGATAAGAAGAGGAAAGAGAGGGTCATGTAGTAGCATGGATGCAGGTGAAAATCGTCTCAATGTACCCTTTTATATAACTTGATATTGGAAAGCATGTCAGTATTTCAAAGCCAAAAGTAAATGTGGGGGGAAAAGCAGTTCTAAAAGTTAAAAGCAAACTAAAATAAATGAGTCTATCAAGTTAGTGATATGACCATACAAAGACTTATTCTAAGCAACCTTAGAAGGCAATGCCTTGTCTGTATACCTTCAGTGGTATGTGGCCTAAGTATAAAAATATAGAAGGTGATCGAAAGCCAGTAAGCTAGGCCAAAGTAGGCCTGAGGCAACGAACGCCACCTTGGGCCAGAGCAGGATTGAGGCAACAAATTCCACAGTAGTGAGATGGAACCAGCTACCTAGGCTGTAGTGAACCTGAGGAAGCAAGCTCCATGGGAGCAGGAGCTGTGAGCCAATCCAGTCCTGGGACACTGGTGGACCAGGATTGAACCAGGGTCCTGGTCCAGAGACAGTGAAGTCCACTGGAACAGGTACAGGAGAGTAACTGCTGAGTGAGTGAGCCAGAGTCAGAGACTATTGAGGGTCCAGATGTGAATTTGGGGCCTTCAAGGGAGTATACCTAAGCCAGGACCCCTGTGGGTCTGGACTTGAGTCTAGGACCCCTCAGGAACTAGGTCTGAGCCAGGACCTCTGCCAGTCTGGGTGTGAATCTGGGACCTCCGAGAGGGGAAAGGCAGGAACCAGAGATCTCTGTGGGGCCAGGTGTGAGTCTGGGACCTCAGAGGGAGTAGGCCTGAGCCAGGTCCTCTGTAGGTCCTGGCATTGGTCTGGGACATCGAAGGGAATAGGCAGGAACCTGGAACCTCTGTGGGTCCTAGAGTGAGTCTGGGACCTCTGAGGGAGTAAGCCTCTGCGGTTCTGGGGGCTCCTGAGCCTGGGAGCCCCAAGGCAGTAGATCAGAGCCAGAGGCCTTTGCAGGACCAACTCCATGCCAAGGACCTTTGCAGGAGTGGATCCAGACCAGGGTTTACAGAAATAGATCAAAGCCAGTAACCTAGGCCAAAGTAGGCCTGAGGCAACAAACTCCACCTTGGGCCAAGCAGGATTGAGGCAACAAATTCCACAAGAGTGGGACTGAACCTCTCTTAAGATTGGAGGGTGTGTGTGGGAGGGGGTAAGGGGGAGGGTGTGTGGAGGGAGTGGTAGGGAAGTGGGAGGAGGGGAGGAAGTGGAAATTTGGATTGATATTATTTTTTAAAGTAATAAAAATAATAAAAAATTAACAAAAATACAGAATGAAATATTAACCAAATTAAAAAACAGTAACCTTATTAATTAATTAATTTCAGATAAAATTGATTTTAAAACAGGGAAGATAATCAGAGCTAGATGGCGTTATTATATAAACAAGGGTTTTCCAAAGAAAAATCTATCAATTCTAATGCATATGCAATTAATAGACCTTCAAAGTACACAAGGTGAAGCCTCAATAATTAGAAAAGAGAAATACACAAATCCTCAGTGACACCTGTAGAGGTCAACATTTCTCTCATTAATATATCAAATAAGTAGGCAGAAAATAAAGGAGAGAGATGACTTGCACATTATCAATTAAGTTGGCATAATAGATATTTATATAGCATTTTACCAAGCAACAGATTTTACATTTCTGAGCCACCCAACATGGGGTACTGGGAATTGAACTCTGGTTCTCTGGAAGAGTAGCAAGTGATCCTAATGACATCTCTCTAATCTCCAATTTTTTGTTTTTCTTTTCTTTTTTTTTTGAGACAGTATTCTAATACGTAACCCAAGTTGATCTTGAACTAACATATAGCCTATGTTGGCCTGATACTCATGATCATGTCTCAGGAATGTGCCACTATACTGGCTTTAAAAATACTTTTCACTAAATTAAATATTAAGTTACTTTCTCTATAAAGGACCGGATAGAAAGTATTCTAGCCCTTGTGGACTATACATTGCCTGCCATGAAACAAATCTTTGGTTGTAGTTAAAAAAAAAAAAGAAAACCCAGCAGAATAGACAGAAGAATGAATATGACCATAATCCCATAAAACTTCATTTTGTTTTGTTGGTTTTAGTAGACAGGGTTTCTCTGTAGCTTTGGAGCCTGTCCTGGAATTAGCTCTTGTAGACCAGGCTGGTCCCAAACTCACATAGATCCACTTTCTTCTGCCTCCCGATTAAAGACATGTGCCACTACCACCCAGTCAAAAACTTCATTTTCTAATGCAGGCTGTGGGCTGTATTTTGCCAAATCTTGAGTTGAATAAATATGAAAATACAATGTGTTGAAAGTTGCATGATACAGCTAAAGTCATACGTATAGGGAAAAAATCATTATTAAATATATATGCAGGAGATCCTTATTTGCATACTTGTTAAAATTCTCCTGTAACTACCTCTACACTTAGGTGTGTACTACCCATCAATACTTGAGTCTACTTTTGTAGTTATTCTCAGACATGCTTGTAGTTCATGTTCCTAGCTAAGTGAAGTTAGCATTCTTGTTTTATTCCTCTTATATACGCAAATATCCTTTTCACCATCTGAATTGTGCCTTATTTTTCATATTTCTGAGATCCCTATTGATTGTGGTGTTGACACAGCCCCCAAACTTGGTGTCCACTGTACCTAACTGAGGAAGGCTATTCTGTGCTTCATGAGAACATGTGTGTACATATGCTTCACGCAGGCATGCTGTTAGCTGTAGTTCTTAGAGCAATGTCAAAAATCATACTTAAATCTGTAACTTATGCTCAAACTTTAAGAAACTAGAGAATGAACAAATCATACCTAATGTTAGTGAAAGTAAGGAAGTAATAAATACGAGAACAGAAACCTAATGGAATTGAAAAGAAAATTGAAATGCAAAGCACTTCTTTGAAACTCTCAGTAAAATTAGAAACATCATGTGAAAAGGTACTGAATGTCACTAATCAAGAAAATGCAAATCAAACTCATGATGAGATATCAACTTCACATACATGTTAGGCTATTATCACAAAGGGAAATGCATTGCTGAGGATGTGAAGCAAGAAGAACAAGAACCCTTGTGCATCGCTAGTGGGAATTTAAATTGTTATATATAGTCATTATGATAATACTTCAAAAAAATTAAAAATAGAGCTGCCATATAATCCAGCAATCCCACTTCTGGGTATATATTCAAAAGAAATCAAATCACTACCCAGAAAGAATTCCTACGTTATTGAGGCATTATTCACCCTAACCAAGAAATGGAATCAAATTTAGGGGTCTTGTTGACAACTGGGTGGACAAAAAAAGTATGGTATGGACTACTCTTGGTGGCATATGTCTTTAATCCTAGAACGTGGAGGGCAGAGACAGGCAGATCTCTGTGAGTTCTGGGTCATCCAGGGTTATGTAGTAAA